CAATATAACTCGGACATTTTGAGACAATTTGAATAATGTCTATTTAAGCAGTAGAAAAATAATAAAGACCGTGAATTTCACTTAGCACTTCCCGTAGTACAACTCTAAATATCTGCAGAGATTCTTTATTTTTCTCAAAGGCGTCTTTTTTTCTCTTTTTTTAAACTAGTTAGATCTATTGATTAATTTCCTATACATTCAGCTGTTTTCAGCATGTAACAGCGCTTTTTGTTTCTCTTTTTTTCTCTTTTCCTACGCTTTTCCTTCTCTTTTTATGCTTTTTCTTTTCTCATTTTTTCACTTATGTCTGCGAATACAGTTCTTGTCATAGACGCTTCGGCAGTTATTAACTCGATTATCTCGCAGATGGACTATGCGAAGGGATACATTCCGCAGGCAGTTGCAGATGAGCTAAAGTGCAATGAGAGCACCCAGCTGATCTCTCTCCACATGTGCAAGATAGAGGTGAGAGACCCCGTGGAGAAGTACGTAAAAATAGCAGAAGAGAAGGCTCTGGAGATGGGCTTTTCCGGGCTGAGCAAGCAGGATATACAGCTAGCAGCTCTTGCCCTGGAAATATCGGAGGAGAACAACTCTGTGTTTTCCGCGTGGATCACTGAAGAGTCGATCCAGAAGGAGGTCACGCAAGTCGTTGCTGTCTCCCTCGATAACGCCCTGAAGTCTCTGATGGCTCAGCTGGGCGTGGAATTGCACGATACTTTCGTTGATAGAGCCAGAAAGTACATGCTGCGCTGCTACACCTGCAATAAAACGTACGGAATAGACGACAGGAGCGCTGCAAAGGGACTGGACTTTTGCAGGTCTTGCGGATACTCCACAATAACCCGCATAGGATATACGGAGGTAGACGGGAAAGTGCACCTCCACCTCAGCAAAAACTACAAATTCACAGAGAAGATCCTCACAACAAAGAGCGGAAAACCCATCCGCAGCCAGGACCAGAAGGAGTACAGATGGTACAGGAAGAGCCAAATGCGAGAGGAAAAAAAAGATCAGAGGGAGCTGGCAGGGCTTATGCTGCCACAGAACTGGGACTCGCTAAAATAAATAATTCATTCTTTTCTTTGTTTATGTATTTCAGCAACAGAAGCTACATGGATAAAGTAGGGCTTTCCCTAACGTACTTCCTTATAGGGTATATTGGAGTTGCTTCAGGGCCTCTTCTCCTGTGGGAGGACCTGAAAGAGTGGGAAGTAACCCGGGGAATTCTTGCACTTTTGAATGCGTTCGTGGTTCTGGACCTGCTTCTTCTCGTGTGTGTGAGCAGAACCCGGGGATACGTGAGAGAGGAGGAGTACGTCCCCGGGGGAAGGTTCTGCTACGAGTGCAGGATGGCAAAGCCTGAAAGAGCCCATCACTGCACTCGCTGCAAAAAGTGCATCACGAAGATGGATCATCACTGCCCGTGGGTGGGGTCGTGCATCAATGCGAGTAACTTGGGGAATTTCATTAAGCTTATTTCCAGCCTATTTATAAGCGCAGTTCTCTCCCTGTGCTTGCACAGCTACGTATTTCGCCTGCGGATTCGGGAAGTCTACGACTCTGTTGTGATTAGTCCTTCGATATGCCTTATATGCGTAAACATTTTGGTTATGCTTTTGGCTGGGGTTGGAGTTCTCTTCATAATGATCCGGCAGATTCGGCTGATGCTCCTGAATGAAACGTATTTGGAGCACCTCCAGGTCAGGAGACTCGAGGAGTTGGGCCTAGAACGGGCAAAGAATCCGTACAGGAAGAGTCTCCGACAGAATATGGGGAGCGTCTTCGGAGGGCCTCTTCACTTTCTCCTGTGCAGGGCTCCAGCGGGTGCTGCATCCTTCGGGTACAGGAACTACTGGCCTCCCCTTCGCACGGCAAAGTCCATCTCCTCCAGCCACGTAGAGCTAAATGCTCTGGTAGGAGGGCAGACGGAGTAGGCGAGTCTACCCGAACAACACACATAGATAATAAAACACTTGTATAGAATAATGCTACTGAGTAACCGACTTTGATACACCATCATCATCATACAATGATAGAATGATAGAATATGCTAGTAATATATGACAATCAGTTGTTATCATGTTATTATGTTATTATGTTATCATGTTGGTATGTTATTATCGTATTCTATCATGTTATTATGTTAGTATGTTATTATCATATTCTATTATGTTATTATGTTGACATATTAGTATGTTAGTATGTTAGTATCGTATTCTATCATGTTATTATGTTATTATGTTAGTATGTTAGTATGTTATTATGTTATTACGCTATTGCCATACATTATCGTATTCTAACATGTTATAATGTCATTATGCTACTATCACATGATTATTCTGGTTGTTCAAGGGCGTATTTTAGATTGAAAGTGTATCTTTTCTGAGTTTATGCTGACTTTTATTTTTCTCTCCGGACAGGACTCGCCAGAGACACGCACAGAAAAGCCGCAGATGCAGGCAGAAAAGACTCTGCACGGAAACAGCTTCTGTTTTAGCCTTGATTCTTGCTGAGTTGAAACTTTCTCAATTCAAGAGTTTTCCGTTATAAACTCACTCTCTGCGGATTTCGGGCGTGGTTCTTCTAGGCCTGCTCCTCTGCCTTCTGGCTGAGGACTTCTGCAAGAGGAGCACACGTTTCAAAGCAGAGCCCTACCCTGCACATACGGCACACCTTTTTGCTTTCCCCGCAGGGCTCGCACACGATATTATACGCTAGTTTTATGCTTTTCTGCAGGCAGATCGTGCACCGGGAAATATGCGTCTGTATTTTGTACTTTCGGTACTGCTTTCTCCAGTTAATTTTTTCCGTGCACCTTCTGCACAGGCCTGTGATCGGAATAGCAGCTATTTCCTTCGTTAGGGCTGAGTTTGGGTTGTGCCTAAATGCGAAGGTGTTTTGGTGCGCTGGCTTTCTGGAGTGGGTCTTTGCCTTTTCCTGCATCTAAAAATTTGCAACTCGTTTCTTATGAGGAAGAACCCCTTTGGAGTAAAGAGCCAGGACACATCGACAGTTGAGTCCGTTATTTGCAGGGTTTTTGACACGGGGGCAGTTGAGACTGTGCCTGAGGAGGAGACAAAGCAGCACCCGGAAAAAGCGAAGGAAATTGACGAGAAGACCATTCTGGATGCACTGGGAGTGTACTCCCTCGCAGAGAAGGCAGGATCTGCAGTCCCAGAGACGGGGATATTCAACTACGTGAAAGCATCTGCTGAGGAGGCCGTGAAAGAGGCACTTGAAAAAGAAGTGGGAAAATGCGTGTACTATCAGACCCCGGAGACGCACTTGATACTGCGGGAGGACTCTGCAGCGTATAATGCGATATTTCGCAGCTGGAGAAAGGGTCTAGCAGGCCTTTTCACGGACTACAGGAATGCAAATGCAGCAAAAAAAGACTTTTCTTTCCACGCGTATTCGAGCGGAAGTGTTTTCTTCTTCCACACGAGCGGATATGCGGGGTGCAGCAGAATATGCTGCAAAAACAACGGATCATACGCACTGTACGTGCTAGCGAAAGATGCGGATATTGCGGACCTTTTTGAGAGCAGCTTCCAGAGAGACGGAGACGAGGGATGGGGTCTGTCTGGGAGGGCTGTTCTGTTTGTGCTGGACTCAATCATCAACACGCAGGCAAGCACTGTCTGTGCTCTTCCTTTGGTGCTTTCGAAGTACCCCTTTGAAAACGGGATTATGACGAAGCCCAGCCTTGTCGTGCGCCCAGAGAAGATCTCGCACAAGAAAACGTACAGAATACTGATCAAGGGATGGATAGCGAGTGCTGACATACGCACACTCTCCCAGGCAGAGCAGGTAGAGGCAAAACACACAAACTTGGAGACGTACTAATACTGTCTAGCTATTGAATAAGTGTTTTATCTATTGAATAAGTGTCTAGCTATTGAATAATTACTGTTTTATCTATTGAATAACTACTGAATAAGTGTTTATCTATTGAATAAGTATTGAATAATTACTGTTTTATCTATTGAATAATTATTGAATAATTATTGTGTCTATCTATTGAATAAGTACTGTTTTATCTACTGAATAAGTACTGAATAATTATTGTATGATTCTGTTACAGTTCTACCTATTGAATAACTGCGGTCTAGTTACTAAATTACTGCCTGTTACTTCTACTCATTGAACTACTGAATTCTAAGTATTTTTATTGTTTCGCATTGTCTTTTACTGTCTAGCTATTGTCTGCCGGCTGAATATTTGCTCTATGGACTCTCTTTTTCTCTTGCAGTAGAACTGTGCTGCCTGGCTCTGTATAGGTATCTACGTATTGAGGGCGCACTGGACAGTTGCAGTATAGCTTGTACAGGCAGAACGGGCATAATACCTCGGATGCTCCTGCATTTAACGGCCTAAAGGCCCGCGTAGAAGTTTAATCGCGGAGTTCGAACCAAAGTTCCATCGGGCAAATAGTAATTCCCTGCCAATGGGCGCATAACGTGCTTTTTTAGGAAATCCCCTACGACAACCAGCTTCTCCTTTGCGATCTCCCACACACTGACCAAACTAGCCCTGCTTATGTCCAAAATCACCAGAAGCGGATCACACATCACGCCTTTTGTAACGTAGCTTATGCACTGAATGTCTTCGACAATGGAGGTATCCTCTGCAGCGAGTTTGAAAGAGTAGTACGTGTATATAAAGGCACCGGAGCCCAGCAGGACCAGGAAATACATCATAATCAGCATAAGAGAAGACTTCACGCGGAAAACATCTCGCTCGGAAAGCAGCAGGTTCTTCTTTCGGTACGGGGCCTTGTCGAGAACTACTTCAGTGTAGAGGAAGAATGCTCTGATAGCAGAAAAAGAGATAATTCCGGCAAAACACTCTCTTATGTAGAGATCCGTTATTTTCCCAGACCACACGAGAAGGGAGATTGGGCAGTAATAGTCTGTGTATAGAAGGACGGCTATGGTAATCCCATAGAAAAGGGAAAATCCTGCAGCAATTCCGTACATGATTTCGTCTGAGTTTTTGGACCTGAAAAACGGTATTTTGTCCCGTATAATGTCCATTGTGTGCAGCGAGAGGCGAGGCCCCACGACAACCATCATGCAGAAGGAACCGTATGCGAGGGGATACATAAATCCCTCGTAGTTGCACCACGTGTGAACTATTTGGGCGCATATAAGCGGGGAAAACGTGAAAATATCGCACAGCATTCTTTGCGTGTAGCGCAGAGTGTGGAAGCTTTCGCTGTAGATGCTGTATGTGGACGTGTAGACGAAGAAGCTGAAAAAGTACAGGTACTCCATAAATCCGATGTGGATGAGGTTTCGGATAAACTCAAAAACCCATAGGAATGCGTCTCTTATAAGGGGGAGCACGAAATACGTCGCCATCTCCTGGAAAATTGTGCTCCTTTTAAAGACTGGGTTCTCTTGGGAGATGTTTTTGAGAAAAGACTCCTTGTTGTGCTGGATAAATTCCACTCCCACGGCGTACTCGTTTGCAGCGTTGACGCCCTGGAGGGCTTTAAAGTCTCTGCCGTTTTCTTGCATTTCTACGGTTTAAATAAAATTCTAAAAGTTTTACGCCAGGATCAGGCAGATGAAATAGGGCCGTTGGGTGCTCTTTTCAGGGAGACAGGTCCTTTCCAAAGAGTCTTCTCGCTCTCTTCTTCTCTTGCCTTTTCCATTTGAAAAGCGGCCTAAACCTCTTTTCTGCAACTGCGAGGTCTCTGATTCTGCTGCAAGAAGATCCAGAAAACGAGCATCTGCATGGTCGGGTGCTAGGCTCTTCATAGCCCGAGAGTGAAGGCCCCATAAAAATCCGGATTTTATCCGAGTTTTCCACGGGAGTATACCCCAGCAGAACCAGAAAAAACTTTACGAACTTTTTTCCGGTTGAAGAGAAGATCAAAAATAAAAAGCAGGCCCTTTATTCGTAGGCGAAATCCAGAGAAAGCGCTGTCTGCTCGTGTCTTTTACTTTGGGCATCTTTCTGGCTTAACCATTTGAAGAGCAGAAGTCACACTGTCGGAAAGCTGCAAAAATGCAGTCTCCTTCTCGCATTGAAGGAGAAAATGCTGAGAAGTGCCTGCTGTCGCTGAGTGCCTAAGGAGGAAAATCATCCGCCCAGAAAATGTTCCTGAAACCAAAATTAAACCGAATAAAAACCTGAAAACACGTTATTTTCATGCCAGGGCCAGCTACTCTGCAGACTCTCTGGTGCCATTGCATTGGAGAGTGTCTGTTCCCAAGCACTTCCCCTCTTTCGAGTGCATTTCCAGGGAGAAGAGGCTCCAACGGTAGACCAGGAAAGCAATAAGAGCAAAAACCAGAAGCTTAAGGCACAGGACCAGGAAACAAATGAGCATTTTCGGGTAAGAAACAGACTCTTCTGGGGGAGAAATCCTTTCTTCACGCGGAAACGTGCAATACTCCATGCAGTAATTATTGCCTACTATTTGCACGCAGAGGCACTTATTCGAGCTGCTTTTATCTACTTCTTCTGAATTTTTATTCATGCAAAAGAGAGGGCAGCCTTATATAAATGAGCAAAGATGCGCATCATATGATATTGCACTCATAAAGCGTGCTTTGGAGTGAAATCACAGTGTCTATTTCCGCATGCGGGCAGACCTATGGATAGAACATCCAGAAATAGTCCTGTATCTCCTGTACTTACTGCAAGTTGTAATGGGAAGTGCTAGTGAAATTCACGGCCTTTATTGTTTATTGACCTGCTTCTACAGACATTGTTTAATTCGTCCCATAATGTTTAAGTTGGGCAGTCCCTTGATTATGCCTATATAAGCAATAGCCAATCACGAGCAGCCATGCTTTCACCCATACAGCACTGCAGAGCTGCAAAACACGGATTTCTTTTGTGCTTTTGCTCGCATTTTTCACGGGGGAATTTTCTTTGCTCTCGGCGGGATGCGGACGACTTCAGGACGCCAAAAAAGAGACGTTTTTTTCAGGGTCTATCCTGCAAGTTAGGGGGTGCATAGGCCCGTGGGAGTGCTCCCGTGCTTTTCTGCGGGTTCCCACGGCATTTATGGGAGAATTTGGGTCATTCGAGGTGTCTGAAACTTCCGGAAAATGCGGAGAAACAAGCGGATATTTGCAAGGATGCTTTCTTGCTCTGTCCTGGAGCAAGCGTGTGCTTCTGGGTCGCATCTTTTTGCCATCTTTTCTCATATGCTCTCAGTGGGAAGAGAAAAGTGCTGAAACATGCACGAAAATCCATAGCTAAAAGCGTCTATTTAACAGGAAAAGACAGATTCTCGCATTTTGCCGACTTTTAGCGAAGTGCGAGCGTAAACGAAGCAAGGCCGTGGCTTTGGGCTCACAACAAGATGGAATCGAGACACACCCGAGAACAACAGCATAGTCCACCTGCAGTCATAGAGATGCAAAAGTTCTGGCTTCCTGCACGTATAGAATATAAAGAATTGCACTCTGCAGATAAGCTTGATTTTTAAAGAGATCACTGCAATATTTGTACATTCAACTTCTGCGTGCGATCAGATGATCTAAAAATGTATAAATGACAGAGTTACTCCAAGTGAAATGTTTTGGAAAAAAAACGTGCAATTTTTCGGGTTTATGCTCTTGCTGAAAATGGGCAGAATGGCGATGCTCGTGCAGAATCTCGAGTTTGGATGGATGACTTTTAGGCCGATTTTCAGCATGGAGTCAGTGCAGATAGAGTACTCCCCCAGCCACATAGCACGCCCGAACACAATCAGCAGGAAAATTGGGCACTATCCACGCCCAGTCTATTTGAACATGCACATAGAAAAGATACTTCGCTGTATGCAGGAGAGCACTGTAGTCTTTCTCCAGAGTGCAAGCTTGAGCGAGCACATAATTTTGGACGAAAGGTACTTTAACTGCCGAGGGACTGAAAGCCTCAACTGCCAGGGAATGTGGATAAAGCGCGTCCCAATATCCGACATCCTCCCGGAAGTCTCACCGAGCGAGAAAGCCACGTGCCTTTTCGTTAGCATCCCAAAGAAAGGTAGAAACGGCAGCTCCTGGAGGCTGAACTACATCATCAACGACAACTTTCTGTACACCAGCGCATTCTCCAGGCGAAAAAACGGGTTTCTCAGCATAGATATGGAGGGATCCATGAAATGGCTGGAATTTTCCGTCTGGCCCTCTCCCGTTATAATTGCAACGAGAAGAAGCCTTCCGAACGTGATGGTTAGCATGCACATCAGCGAATATTTAGAGCTCACAAAAAGCATGGAGAGTGCAGGATTGTGCCACCCAGAGAAGAATATTTCGATGATACTCCAAGCTCTTGTGCATAGAATCTCAAAGAAAGTCGACATTTCCACCCCGCAGGAAAAGCACAAAAAAAACATGGCTGTGCTACACAACATATACACGCAGCAAATCTCTCCTCTCGATAGCAACCAGGGATACAACATCAAAACGCACGTAATGATAAAATCCCAGGAGTTTAGGCATGCAGAGGATCTTCTCGCAGAAAAAGCGTACTTTGAAACCCTTCTTTCCGAGGAGGAAGACTGCAGAGAGTGCACTTTCAAGGCAAAAAGGAGGGCGTGGGCTCTTATAAAGAACGAGCTAATGCACGGGGAGGATGGGGGATGCCTGGCACTCGACGGAAACTCTCTGCAGGAGGTCTATTTCATACCGCAGCGAAAACTGCCAAGCTCCGAGTGGAGGAAGACTCTATTCAGCGAAAATATTCTTTCCCTGGGCAGAACCCTGATAGTTTTAAACTCCTCCTCCCAAGAGAGCGAATTTCCCGTGGAGAAGGAGAGAGTGTTTACGCTCATCAAAGAAAAAAACTCAGAGAGGGTTGAAGTCTGGTCGCACGCAGAAAAAGACACGGATTCTGTGCGGGTGTACAATGCATGCAGTGAAGAGTTCAGTGAGCTTCTATCGTATATTTTCCACATTATTCTCCCGATTCCCTCCGGGCTCTGGTGTGGAAGTCCCTCCGAGTACGACCCAGACGCCCTTTCAAAAGACATGCTTGCAGTCGTAGCATAGATACCCAAAAGCATCGCAGAAGCACTCCCTGCAAAACATAGAAATAAATGCAACAGAAGAGCCACACTCTTATACAGGCAGACTGTGCTGAATACCTTAGTCTATTCTGTCGTTACTAGTTTATTGCATGAATGCAAGCATAGCATATTCCTGTTAGAATTTATTTCTGTTAGAGTTGTTCTGTTGTTGCTATATTTATGTTATGTTGTTGCTAAATGTGTTTTGTCATTTATAGTTTTGTTCTGGTGTTTTTTAACTAGTTGGATTTTATTTCTGTTGTTGCTAAATTTATTTCTGTTAGAATATCTCCTGCTATATTTATCCTGTTAGAATATCTTCTTCTATATTTATTCCTGCTAAATTATTTCTTCTATATTTATTCTGTTAGAATATCTCCTGCTATATTATTCTGTTAGAGTTATTCTGTTAGAATAGCTCCTGATATCTCGTGCTGGCTTTTTATGTGTTGCACCCTTCTATCTATACTGCGTGATATCGCTTACATCCTCTGGGTCGTGCTCGTAGTGGAAGAGCCTGCACAGATCCACCTTCTCAAAGAGTTTTCCCACGGGAACTCGGTCAAGAACTCCCGCAGCAACGGCCTTTTTCACTCCCTGCACGTCCAAAACGCTCTCCTCAACAGTTCCCCTGCACATAAGCCGGAAAACCTCCACCTTCTCCAACTGCCCCATCCGAGCAACACGGCCCTTCGCCTGCTCCTCGTTGTACGGGTTCCAGTCCACGTCGAAAATGATCACCGTATCCGCACGCTGCAAGTTCACGCCCTCTCCCCCGACTCGGCTGCTCACCAGAAAAATCTCCACCCCAGAACTTCCCCCGAACTCCTTCAGAACTCGCTCCCTCTCGGAAATTGGGCTGCTCCCGTCTATTCTGTAGACTCTCTCCAAAACCCCGATATCCCTGCACATTCGCTCGAGTATTCGCAGGACTTCCCTGTACTGGCTGAAAAGGACGATTTTTCTCCCGGACTTTCTCCACAGGAAAAGAAGCCTGTGCACTGCCTGCATCTTCCCGCTCTCTCTCCAGTGAGTCATCTCCTTCTCCGCGTATACCGGGTGATTGCAAATACTCCGCAGGCGTCCAACTGCCTTCAAAGGACTCCCCCTCCCGAGAAGAGTCTTTGCTCCTCGCTCTGAGTATACGTCACTCCCCAAAACTCTCTCGTACGCTTTCTGCTGGGACTCTGTGAGGGGACAGAAGATGACGTGCTCCTCCTTCTCTACTGCAACCCCAACATCTGCCTTTGTCCGCCTCAGAACAGTCTCCCCGAGGAGAGAGTTTATCCTCTGCCGGACAATTTCTCCCTGGGCCTTCTCTCGCGGGGATGCAGACTTTAATGTACTCCTCTTCAGGGGGAGAGCGACTTCCTCCTTGAACCGAGAGAAGTCTCCAAAGTATCCCGGGCGAACTATCTCGACGATACTCCAGAGCTCTGCAAGGCTGTTCTGTATTGGAGTCCCAGTTATGCATATTTTCGAGCGAGCATCCACCTCCTTCGCAGCCCGTGTGATTCTCGTCTTCACATTCTTCACGCGGTGTGCCTCATCGAGTACGACGAGGTCAAAGAAAAGCCCGAGAAAAGCCTCTCTGTTCCTGTAGAAAAGCTCGTAGTTCGTGAGAATCACGTACTCTCCCTCCGCCCTGCAGATGGAAAGAGACAAATCCTCGTCTGGGGATCGCAGGATCTTCACGGGGAATCTGCAGTGGAACTTCGCAGCCTCCCTCCTCCAGTTCTCGAGGAGTGTGCACGGAGCGAGGACAAGGACGGACTGCCCGATCTCCGACCAGACTCTTTCGATCACTGCAAGGACCTGCGCAGTCTTTCCCGTTCCCATTTCATCGCCCAAAATAGCGCCTTTTTTTGCCTGGACTTTCTCCCAGAGCCACTCCACGCCCTGCTCTTGATGCTTGCTGAGTCCAACCATGAGAAAACTTTGCATTCCCCTGCTGCAAGAAAAGAGGGTGGAGAAGCGAAAGGAGAGCCCGTGCAGTTAAGCATCGGATTATTATGTGCTGCTGCTAAATCATTCAGATGAAACCATTATAAGCTGCGAATTTAAGCTAGTATCCACTGTAAAAGTGTTCTCCAGTATTAAGCTATTCCATTATTAAGCTAGTATCATCCACTGTAAAAGTATTCTCGTGTTAAGCCATTCTCGTATTACATATTCCAGTATTAAGCTATACTCCACTGTAAAAGTATTATCCACTGTAAAACCATGCTCGTATTAAGCTATGCTCGTATTAAGCTAATATCCAGTGTAACAATATTCCAGTATTAAGCTATCCCAGTATTAAGCTATTATCCACTGTAAAACTATACTCTACTGTAAAAGTATACTCTACTATAAAAGTATTCTCCACTGTAACAATATCCTCGTAATGATGATGTAATGAATGTGAATTCTGCTGAATCCTGCAGTGAGCCCATGATTTAGTGTCCTTTATTACGTATTATGCAATGATAGTTGATTTTATCTTATTTACTAAGTGCAAGTCTCTAGCCATAAGAGTGACTCTCTTTGCATGTATTGCGCATCTGTTGCTGTCCTCGAACAGGCCTGTGAGGTAGTTCTCGAGACTCTCCTGGATTGCAAGAATGGAGGAAGACTGGAATCTGACGTCTGCCTTGTGCTCGCTTGCAACCTCCCGGACGAGTCTCTGGAAGGGCAGCTTTCGGATGAGAAGGTCTGTGGTTTTCTGGTACTTTCGGATCTCCCGGAGGGCGACTGTTCCGGCCTTGAAACGGTGCGGCCTTTTAGCAGCAACTGCCCCTGAGGCGGTGCTCTTCCTTGCTGCCTTCGTGGCCAGCTGCTTCCTTGGGGCTTTTCCTCCCGTTGATTTTCTTGCGGTTTGCTTCGTTCTTGCCATCTGTTTTTTTCTATTCTTCTCTATATTTATACGCATTTTGGCGGGCTTATTCCCGGCTGCAAATGCGCGGGCAAGGCATGAATGCGCGGGGTTTCTAAAAGTATAAATAGCAAATGTTTTTGTGTTTTTATGTCACTTGCAGGAAGAGGAAAGGGAGGAAAAGGTCTTGGAAAAGGATCAGCCAAAAGACACAGGCGAGCAACCCAGCAGACGATGGGAATATCCAAGCCCGCAATAAGGAGGCTTGCCAGAAGGGGAGGAGTGAAGAGAGTCAGCGCTGGAGTCTACAGCGAAATAAACACAATGGCCAAGACCTACCTCGAGGGAATCATTCGATGCGCAGTCACTTACTGCAACCACGGAAAGAGAAAGACCGTTTCGTGCCAGGATGTACTGTACTCTCTCAAGAAGCAGGGAGTGACTTTGATTGGATTCGGATCCACTCGATAGGCTGAGAAGTTGAGAAATAAAGCACACTAACTATAGCACTCTTCATTTTTAAAATAGTCCCAGAAATTCCATAAAAAACATAATACAAATATAGTACATAGTGCAGGATAAGGATATTATGCCATATTATGCTATGGGAATAGACTGAGTATGGTATAGATGTATGTTACGTCATGGGAATAGACTGAGTATGTTATGGATAATGTATGTATAGTATAAATATGTTATAGATGTATGAGTAATAGTATGCTATGTATGAGTATGAGTATGCTATGTATGCTAAAGATATAGAGAGTGAAGGCACAGGCCAAGCAGAGACTGCAGGAAGTGCCAAGTGAAATAGTGGCTTTACCATAGAATTCAGCCTGATTAAACACGCGCAGTCCAGAACAACTTTATGCCGGATCAACTCCTGCCAAAACAATGGCCAATCACAAGTAAACATCCAGCACAGACTAAAGCAAAGGCCAATAAAGTACAAAAGTATGCACAAGGGAATAGAGTAAATTTATAAAAACAGGATATGCATAAGATAAAGGGCTAAATATGAATAACAGGAAAAACGCAATAATCCAATAAATATGAAGAATATATTGAATTTGTACAGCTATGCAAGGATAGGATAACCACAGAGTGCTATAGCCACATAATAGCCACATAATAAATCTAACTAGTTCAATACTATAGCCACATAATAAATCTAACTAGTTCAATACTCTAACTATAATAACCACATACTATTCTACCTATAACTATTCTACCTATAACTATACTATTACAACTATACTATATTAGTATAACCACAGACTATTCTAACTCTAACACTATTATACCTATAACTATTCTAACTATACTAGTATACTATTCTACCTATAACTATACTATACTAACTATACTATTACAACTATACTATGTTACTATAACCACAGAGTATTCTACCTATAACTATTCTACCTATAACTATACTAACTATTCTAACCACATACTAACTATTCTACCTATAACATATAACTATGCAATACTCCCCTTTGAGTTTCCGTGCTTGCAGTGAGTGCATGTCCAGGGCAGACTGGGATCAGAATGATGGGAGTGCAAGAAATATAAGAAGGAAAGATCAAGAGCACATGGAAAAGAAAATACGCAGGCCAAGACTTTTGCCCTCCCAGACGAGGCTGCTCCTGGTTGTATACAAGAGCAACCCAAAGCCAGGGAATGAGCTCAGAAAGAAGCTTTCCAAGGAGTTTAACATCCCGATGCGGACTGTGCAGATATGGTTCCAGAACAGGAGGGCGAAGGATAAGCGCACAAGAGAGAAGGCCCCAGAGGAGAAAGATTCTGCAGTTTCTTCTCCCTCTGTCGCATTTTCCTACGAGGAGTACTACAATGGCTTCCTAGAAGAGCACTACTGAGTGCGCAAATGTAAACAATGAAAAACAGAAGCCGAGAGTTCCTGAAGAAACGGGGCGCCCTCTTCGAAAAGAGAAAGACGAAGGAGAAGAACGAGGTAGAACTTCTCTTCGGAAAAATATCCGAGAGTCTCTCCCTCCTCGAGTCTCTCACCTCCCGCGTGGAGAAAGAGTGCGCGCTCTACTGCATCCCCTCCTTCAAGAGCAAGACGGACGTAGTCAGGCGGATAGAAAGCTTAAAGTGCGAGATAGCCTTAAACCTAACGAAAGCCAAGGGAATTATGGACCACTTTTCAACGGCCTACAGAAAGTCCATAAACCACGTCCTAGTCGAGTCTATAGGCGTGCACTTTCACTACAAGATAGATGCGATCCTTGCACGCATGAATGACTCCCTGCAGAGAATAGAGGGGTCCCGAGAACTTCTTTCTGCAGAGGGAAAAAGCACTGTAGAGTCCGTCTATAAGTCCGTCTTCTACATAAACACAATAATAAAGGAGCTGAAGGCCGTGGTTATATCGCAGTCTGATAAGATAGAAAGACTCGATACGGCGATGGAGTACGTCTCCAGCAGTGCCAAAAAGTCTGCAGGAGAGATATCCTCCATCGCCACATTTGGATCCCACGCCAAGAACAGGATTATTTCTGTGCTTTTCTTCTGCATCCTCGTCCTTGTCGCTCTCTCCACGATGAAAGCGTACATGCACTCAGCAAAGGCCAGGCGGAGGGAGAAAAGGCGGAGGGAGCCCTCTATAGGATGGACGATGCACGAGCCCACAGAGAGAACATTCTCAAAAGAAGCATTCTCAAAAGCAGAACTCTCAAGAACAAGGGCGTGGGGTGCACTTCAGGCTAGAATTGCGCAATAAAGAATAAACGGCAAACGCAAACTATTTAGACAGGGTTAGAGTATGATTAGGGTATGATTAGGGTATGAGTAGAATAGAGTTAGAGTAGAGTTAACTTTTCGTTGAAGTTTTATTTTTTTGACTTTCTCTCTTTAACTTTGACTTTCTCTCTTTATATTTCTCTTTGACTTTAACTTTTCTTTAACTTTCTTTTTATCTTTAACTTTCTCTTTGACTTTGAATTTATCTTTCTCTCTTTGACTTTAACTTTCCATTTATCTTTGACTTTCTTTTTATCTTTAACTTTGACTTTTCATTGAATTTATCTTTAACTTTATCTTTCTCTTTAACTTTAACTTTCTTTTTATCTTTGACTTTAACTTTCTCATTGACTTTTCATTTATCTTTCTCTCTTTAACTTTGACTTTCCATTTCTCTTTAACTTTCCGTTGAGACTCCCTGACGAACTAAACACTTTATCTTTATCTTTCTCTCTTTAACTTTGACGAACTAAACACTTTCTCTTTGATGAACTGCTTTATTTATTACTCGTGGACTCTCTCTCTGGGGCGGCACTTGATATTACTGTCGCACCTGAGGAGCATCTCCGCAGTCTCTGCTGCCCTGCTCCAGACGATCTCCTTCAGGCGCAGGGACTCCCTTACCCCGAGCTTCTCCATGCATGCAGCTTCCTCCACGGAGACTCCGAACGTGTGGACTCCCTCCGAGTTCCTGCGAAGTATTTCATCGAGTGTCTCATCCGCGGGGAGTCCTGCATTCGCTGCGAGTGTCCTCGTGATCTCCAGGAGGGCTCTCGTGTACGCTCTTTCTCCCTCCGTCTTCGGGTGCATCATATGCGCGACTGCTGCCTCTGCGCTTCCTCCCCCGCAGACTGCCCTCTTTGACGCCCCCATAAGGACCTTCACTGCCCCGACGAGGGATCTCTCGCACTCCTCGCGAATTTCCCTGGAGGGTCCTCTGATGACGACGGAGCAGGCTCCTGGGCGGATATTCCCGGAGAATTCGCAGAAGTTTCTCCCCTGGATCTTCACTCTCCTGAAAAGTCCGCACGTTCCAACGTCCTCCTCCTGGACAGCGTCGAAAGTGCTGAGGATTCTTCCCCCAAGGGCCTTTGCGAGCATCTCCACTCCCGAGAAGTCTGCCCTCTCTATGCTGATTTTTCCCCTCTTCGTGAACTCCTGTGTGGGATAGTCGTATATTATCTGCCTATTTACTATTATATCTGCGTGCTGGGCGATGCTCTCCACCTTCTCTGCCATCCTCCTATTCTCTGCTGCTTCGATTCTCTCGAGCTCCTTCGGGGAGGATACGGATGCTTTTGTGCTGAATATTTTCACTTTATCTGCGTCCATGCTCGTGTTGATGATGAGGACTCTTGGGCTGCTGCAGGAGTCCTTCTGTCCTGGGCCGATCTCGCACTCCAGGAGAAGGCCTTCGTGGAGGTACGAGTCACTTACTTCTCCGCCGGGGACTTTTATTATGTTCACCATTTCGATCGATTCTGCCCTTCTGGAGACGGCGAGAGAGAGGGCGCTCAGGGAGGAGAGCTCGATTGGGGAGAACTTCGAGGAAAGAGTCGTCCTGGAGAGGGAGAGCATCTCTTCCTCGTCGGAGCACTCGCGAGAGACTGTCCTGAGGAGGCGCAGGGCTTCTTTGTGGGCTTTTCTGTAGTCCGTTATTATTTTGTAGGGGTGAGCGCCCTTAAAAATCAGCTTATCTGCTTCGTGGAGGAGCTCCCCCGTGAGAACAGTTAGAGTAGTTGTTCCATCGCCTTCTTTTTCTCCATGTTCTTTCGCTGAGTTTATCAGGATCTTGGAGGAAGCTCCGGAGGGAACGATGTTTTTCAGCACGGTTGCTCCGTCGTTTGTTATTATGGGCTCTCCCCTCTGGGAGTAGAGCAATTTAAGCATTCCTCGGGGGCCAAGTGTGCTTTTTACCATTCCAGAGGCAGTTATTGCGCCAACTAAAAACGATGTTCTGGCTTCGTCTGCTCTTTCTTGCGTTGCTCCTGGTCTGAGTAATTCTGCCATGCGAAAAAAAGAAAAAGTGAATATAAAGGGGGAGAGAGAGAAGGTGCACTTCGCAGAGGCAGTTTGCCCTTGCGGGGTGGACTCAGTGCGTTCTTTCCTGGGGGAGAGACTTCGTATATCGCAGTGTTTTCGTGCGTGTTTTCGGAGTTCGGGGGTTTTGGTGCTACGCGCTGAGGCTATGGGACAGGCATCGAGAACTCATAGAGAACTCATCGAGAACTCATCGAGAACTCATCGGAGTATTTAGATGGCTGAGCCCCGATAAAGTGCCTTGAATTCGCGCTCTTGTCTCTTGCTCGTGCTGGAAGAGGCCTTGGAAGAGGCTGAAAATGCAGCGCAGGGTGCGATAGAGTGCTTTGCCTGTGCGGGCACTCTCCCCCCGCCTGAAACCAGAGAATGCCCTGGAAATTCCAAAAACCCGAAATATCCGATCTTTCTCCATCCGATAAAAGAACAAAAATACGTCTTTCCCAAAGGCACTTTTATCTCCGAATTTTCTGCGGTGCTTTCAAAGGATTCTGCAAAGTATAATTTGCAGGAATCTAAACAAATAAAAATTGCACAGTATGAAATACGGGATAAATCGTGCACTGAAGATGATTTGCCTTGTCGCACTCGCAGGAAAGACTCTTTCCGCGCCCGAGAGGATGCAGGAGTACGCCCTCCCAGTTGTCACCTCAGACTTAGACGTTGCTGCTCTCTGTGGGTACAATGTCATGGGGCGGGGGGGAAATGCAGTCGATGCTGCAGTTGCAACAGCAATTGCCGTTGGAGCGATAAACTCCTTTGCTTCTGGCCTTGGAGGGGGCGGATTCCTCCTCCTGAAGCTGAAGGATGGAAAGTGCTTCGAGTACAACTTCCGAGAGAGAGCCCCCGGATCTGCAAGGAAGGAAAACTACAAAGTACAGGAAGATTCCAGAAGTGGCCGAAAGTCCATAGCAATTCCGAGCGAGCTCATGGGACTCCTTACAGTGCACATGGACTATGGGCGTCTCCCGTGGAAGGATCTCTTCCTGGAAATAGTCGGGATTCTAAGGACGGGATTCCGCGTGCAGGAAGTTCTTGCAAAGAAGCTGAAGGAATTCGAGCACATTATCGTGAAGGATGCAGGCCTCCGAGAAACATTCTTCCGGGAGGGAAGGCTTGTCCGGGAGAACGAGGTCGTAAAAAGGGAGAATCTGGCGCGGACTTTGGAGGTACTTTCAGAGAATCCGTGGAGCTTCTACACGGGAGAAGTCGCTGACTCTTTGCTTTCCTTCATAAATGCGGGGGAAGAGTACATCACGAGGGAGGAGCTCAGGGGGATCCCCGTGATTAAGAAGGAGGTCTTTCCGGAGGTTATTGGGGAGTCCGTTGAGGTTTACACGCCAGGTCTTCCAACTATGGGGTGGATGATTCGCATAGGAGTTGCCGTTATAAAGCAGCTGAAGGATGCGGGAGTGGACATGTCCCGGGAGAAGACTCTGCAGGAGAATCTTATGGTCGTGTACAACGAGCTGTACCGGATCCGGGCGGAGTTGGACGATCTTCAGGACGAGAAGGCAAACCAGGAGAGTCTTATCAAGCACTCGGAGCAGTCTCGGATCGTGCAAAAAATAACGGAAAAAATCCTGAAAAAAAACCGTTTTATTCCGTACCTGAAAAAACCACTGGAAGATCACGGGACAACGCACATAAACGTGATAGACAGAGACGGAATGATGGTTTCTCTGACCTCCACAATAAATCAGTATTGGGGCTCTGGGCTGATGGACCCACAGACGGGGATAATTTTGAACAACCAAATCGACGACTTTACATTCACGGGCTTCCAAAACAGCAGCGGAATAAGCTCTTTCTGCCGAAATAAGAACGGAGTACAGCCGTACAAGCAGCCTCTCTCCTCGACTATGCCCTCGATTCTGCGGATGGACTCGGACTTTTACATCCTCGGGTCTTCCGGGGGGATACGGATACCCACAGCTGTAATTTCCACCCTCTCCAGGACGATCTTATGCAAAAATTCGATCGAAGATGCAATTTCGCACCCAAGACTCCACTATCAGGGAGGAGACACGATAAAAGTAGAGCACAACTACAGAGACCCCCTCCCAGACCTGGGGATAAAGTGGAAGGTCCTGAGAGACTCTGCAGATACTATATCCAGCTGCGTCCACATTATAAAGTACAGCCTCGAGAAAAGAACAGCTCAAGCAGCTGCCGATAAAAGAAAGGGCGCTGCTGTGGTGGGAGCCCCCTTGAAGCACAGTCCCGGCTTAAGCACTGTATTTAACGCATTTACATCTGTGCCCTTTAGAAAGATAGAGGGAGTTTTTCACATCGAAGGAATAGACAGAAAATAAAGATCA